AAACTCAATCGAGAGAATAGCGACATGTGTTTCCGCCGCGGTACAACCCGCCTGCCTACCGGTGGACGTCGGCGGGAACGGAGGAGCACGCGGGAGGAGTAGTAAGAATATTTTGCCAGATATTATCGGAAGCTCACTTCTCCGGAATCGTGCCGACGGTAAAGGCCAGGAGGGAGGGGACGAGAGAAGGGTACGAAACGAGAGCTCGAAGCGCGCTACATACATGCGCGTGTATGTGTGTATGTGTGTGTTTGCGGGGGTGGTCGCTGGCCCGCGTGTAAGACGCGCTCCCGAAGGAGGCTTCGTCCTGAATAGCCGGCGGAACCGCCACCTAGCCCGGGTGGACCTATCGCTGGCTATTATCGCGTACCCTGCGGTTTTAAGCTATCGTGGCACGTAAGAGTGCCAAGAGGAACTTTCCTCCTCCCTGATGGTATTGCTCCCCTTGCCGTCCCTACCGCCGGGCCGGTCGCCCCGGTCGCCGTCCTCGTGGTCGATATATATAGCCCCCGGAAGCTCCCGACGTCGCAGAATCTCCTATCCGCATGTCCTGCGGCCTTCCAACGTCTACGGGCCACGGCCGAGATAACGCCGGCCTGTTTGCGCAAGGCGTTAGGCATTTACCGGTATATGGCGCGGACGTTATTTCGAAGACCAGGCGGTAGTGAAGGCGGCGGAGGCGCGATGTGTCCGTAATATTTCACCGCGCTCGCACGGTTTAACCTGGACTACATCCAGCGGCGCCAGCTAAGACACACTCTGAACAGTTTCGCTGCCCCCGGATAGTGTGTGCTCGTTCGCTCGCGCGAGGTGCGAGATTAATCTTCGTGTCTCTCTCTCTCTCTCTCTCTCTCTCTCTCTCTCTCTGTCTCTTTCTCTACGAGTTAAGATGGAAGCGGCTACAACTTGTCGTCGATAGTCCCTCAAGTAAGAGTCGTTGCCGACTTCCTTCTGATTGGTCTAGTTCCTTATTTGATCAAAAATGATAGAATAGAGAGTCAACTAGGAGTTTTTATCTGGAACAAATCTTTATTCGAAGAAGAAATTACACACACACACACACACACACATAACAGTATTTTTTAAAAATAAAAGAAACATATTTTTAGGGAAACAACAGTAATTTACATTACATTAAGATAGGTTTCTTGTGGAGATTATCTAGTTGAATAGATGCCCTTCGTGCATACAATTTCTAATAACGAACTGGATGTTATTTTTTATCAAAAAGTCGCCGATGTCCGGACTCTTATTTGAGACACTTCAGTCGGCGAGAAAACGTCGTCTAGCTTGACTCCTGGATTGGAGAAAGCTAAACAAAGATATTCTACGAATAGCAAGATCACTATAGTTATTCTTCAATCTCGCCCTCAAATGTCTCATGAAAAGATGCGGCCTACGAGATCTTTCCTCGAGTTCTCCACGTCGAATCTCGCCAAAATGCGACGTCCGAGCATTTGCCGATATCCCGCGGCGAAACGCAGACTTCATTGACAGTAATCCCGTGTTCCATTATCTCATATGATATCGACAGAATATTGGCACCATGAGCGACCCGAATAACGTCGATTTAACGCGAGTAGTCTTTTTCTCTGCCCTCCTCGACAGGGCAAAAAGTGGCAGGAATATTCGCAGAGTACCGTTCTCGCGCGCGCTCGTATATCGCGACATTGTCGCGATAATTTTAGTCGAGGCTCGGAATGAGATCGTCGTAGATACCAACGTGTGACGTTACGGTGTCCGGAAACGCGGGACGAGTATCCGTTGTTCGCTGAGCGATTATTTACCGGCTGGTGTATTTCCGCAAGTATGTCGCGGCATATCGGGCCTCCTTTTCGGCCTTGCAGTGTTCTCTTTCTTCGCGTCGCGTGACGTGGCTAAAGGTGCCCGTCGCGTCGCACGATTACCTTTACGACATCGTCAAACGACATTGTTCGATGCATTACATCTCCCCCTTAATGTGGTCATGAAAAGGTCGCTCTTAAAATTTATGAATCATATTGCGTTGATAGACGTTTGATTTGATTGGAAGTTAAGAATCGCGACAAGGTATCACGATCTCATTAATATCACGTTTATTATCGCGCGAAATGTGAATTATATTTGATGTTGATCGATTGAACGTGAATCAATGACCGGACATTTTGATCCTTATTTCTGATACATTTCACACTACGCAACGATATATCGCGTGTTGCAATTGCACACGATTGAACACGTGTCATGAATAGTGAACCACACCAAGGAAATTGCCGTTTGTTTCATGTTGTTTGTATGTCGATTTTTCGCCGAGATACTTGAAACTCAAAAGCATTCTCCAAAATGGCGCTTAGCACATTGCAGTGTACGTTGATGCTTCGCACTCTTGGCACTTTCATTTTCCTCTCTCCTAGACCGACGGCACGTGACATTGTATCAGCGGCCTTTGGGGCCCATTCGACTCGTTTTCCGTCGATAACATCGCGCAGAAAAGTCGCAGCGATGTGGAACGAATTGCACGCAAAAGCTGAGACTATCCCGCGCCCGACGAGGGAACAATCTCACTTCTCCGTGCTATTAATTAATTTCGCGGTATATCGGAAAATCTTCCGCTTCTTGTGCGGAACATGTATAATTTCACGATTAAAAACGCGGTTTTTCGTTCGAGCGAATCGAAGAAGAGATAGAAAAGGAAGAAAAGAAAGAAAGAAAAGGACAAAACGAATCGCATCGCGCGGAATATAATTTCGCCTTTCGTTATTCGCATAAGAGCGAGCTGTACGCGATTCAATATTATATTCATAATTAAATATTACTATTCCATATTAATTCATTTAACGTTATTTATGTAATATTAATTATAATTCAATATTAAATCTGTAAGCTGCTCCAGTTTGCGTTCTCGTTATATCATCCGACTGTGTGGCTACAGTAGAACTCATTACGGTCTAATTTAATATTCCCAGGCGAGTAAGACGCGTTTGCAGTTTGCGAGCTTTCGTCGCGAACCGCCGAAATCCGTCGCGCCTGTCTATTTTTTTGCCGCACGCTCTCGCTCTCGCCGAGAGCGAGACTCTCGTCTCTTCTCTCAACGTGGTATCTCTCTCTCTTTCTTTCGGAGGATATTGAAGGAGGAGATAAATACAAACGTACGTACGTATGTACGTCATCTCTGAGCTTACTCTCGCGGCGTTCGCTCGCGCCTGGCGGTATTACGTCCCGAAAGAATAATGGTGTACAAGCTCCAGCGATTTCGCAATATTCGACGCTGTATATTCCTTGGCGTAATGCATATTTATATCGCGGTATGAATCACACGGCTTACAACGGCCACTCTCCCGCGATCCGCATTACCCTACCTCTCTCGCTCCCCCCTTTCCTCTCCCGTATCACGGCATAATCATCGCGGAAAATTCGCGAGACGGTCTGGGCGCGATTCGCCCGCGGAATTCGGGACGGAATTAAATGCGGGACGTCGCGATTGGAGTCGTTAGCATTCCCTAGCAGACTCTGATTAATCCTTTTGCTACCGCGCCGTTGTTCTACGTCTCTTGGTAGCCGCACATTGATCAGCTGCACATTAAGTAAATATCTCAATTTTATTTCTTTTTTTATTTCTTTAATCTTATTTTTATTTATTTTGTTTCTTAATGTCTAAATTTTATAAAAAGTTAAGCATTAACACTGTGCACCTTGCTATTAAGGAACTTATAAATGCGATTGATCAGTTCGGCTTCTGAAAGGTTTATACGTGTTACTCGAAGAAATTTATCATTAGCTCATATTATTTTTATTAAAAAATATTGAGTCAAACAAGTCCGTATCCTTTTCTAGGATTTTTATTTTTGAGTCCTCGTGGTGTAATTCTTTTTATTTAATTTCTCTATTTATATTTTATACTTCGCATTTTTACGCATTAATACGCTGTTGGAATATATATTACACGGAAAAAACAGCGTAGTTAAAAATTACAATAGAATTTGGTAATTTTGAACGCGAAGAAATTACTTGGTAATATTAATTAAACCTCAGTAGCTAATTCGAATTAAAAGACTAATTATTTTGTTGTCATAATTAAGAATTGATTATCTTATATGTAAGATACATTTTTACTGTGATATGAATTTATTAATCGAAATTAAAAGCGCGCAGTTTTTGTCGAACAACTAGAAATGGCAGCTATTTCTAAATGTCTTATTCTATTATAAAAGATAATATTATAATATTAAAAAATATAATAAAAAATAAAACTTTATAATAATAGAATAAGACGTTTATAAAATATATTTTATATAATAAAATTATTAATATAATATTATATATTAAAATATATAAAATTAATATATAAAATATATTAATATCTAAAATTAATAATTTATATTATTATTAATTTTAATCTTGATCGTAATAATTATTTTTCAAATGGTCAATGGGAAAGCGGCACGGATGCGAAGAGATTTCTTTTCATGTCGCTGTGTCGATTTATTTGCACATTATAAACGTTTAAAGCCGCGGCATGGACGTCAAGTTTGAACTCGAAAGTTGCGCTGGCACTTTCTTTCGCGCCGGCATACTGCTCGCTTCTAGTCCTAGGTTGCGTTCCGAAATTCACTGCCAGTACTGAAATTCTGTAGTTCATGTCGCGTGTATTATAGAATTTCAGCACTAGCAGTGAATTTCGGAACGCAGCCTTTGTGAGGTGAACGACCGCGAGGCTGTGACGCGGGCCAGGGGCCGCGGGGAGGAGGGGGACCGCTATCACCGAGCCGCGAT